CTGATTTTATGTGAGCCGCCCTGAGTCCCCTCAGGGAAAAGGGCGGCCTACAAATGTCAATAAAATCAAATCAAATCAGTTCTTCCTTTTACACTGGCTTCATAAAGCCAAAAAATAGCAGCAGAGCATTTTGGATATGAAAATTAAATGAAAACATTATGCAAGATCTATAAAAATCACCACTATGCATTGTTGCAAGACATAACCAAACATTGAGCAATGTTAAATTGCTTAATTAGTGGAATTTCAGTAAGATTTATAAAGCCAAACTTTTCCTGTAGCCACCAATAGAGGGCATCCATCATGTCCTCTTTGACTGCCAACTATATACTTGATAGCTTCCTCCAAGGTACAAACATATTAATAGAAAGAAGGACTGCCAAGTTTCTAGCTACAGCCATTCAACTGAGAGTTCCTTATCTAGATCAGGTTGGGGTCAACTACCAAGAGGATGGTTTTATCTTATTTTATTTGATATGGTCATTAAACTAATCTGTAATTACTAGAGTAGTCACTTCAATCTGAATACTTTTTAAAGTATTTGAAATCAAACAACAGGTACTATAATCAAGTTCCATTTTTCAAAGCAAATGAATCTAGTTTCTCCCAGGCATATACAAGCAACTATTAAGTAGCAAACTAAAGCGTAATTCTCCACAGTGGCAAAATTTTAAAATATAAAATAAGTCCTTTCTGTTGTAGCATTTAGCATTCAGAATGGAAAGTAAGGATTAACTGGGGTTTTTTTCCCCTAACGGACAGAGATTTGTTGCAATGATAACTATATTCACTGCATTACAAGTAGTACAACAAACTAGGGTAATGTAAGTTTTTAGTAGTATAGTAATGTCTCGAATAGACCTATGCAGTGAGACATAGATGTACTTCAATGAAGTGGTATGGGTCAGAGAGGTGACATATAATAACTATAATATTTTAGACATGTACTTACTGTTCTCTCCCTCACAGGGATATTCCTTTAAAAGAAGGCTCACTTAAACCTACTACTTCAAAACTTTCCATTTGGGATGAAAATTGATTTCATTCAGAATTGCTCTTTGATAGTTTAATTGACTGCATGTTTCAAGCAGAATTCAATAAGAATGCTTGGGGTGTACAAGAAAACTAACATAGCATCAATCTACAACTTTTGAACAGCCATAGTTTTCCTAGATGGGAAAAGATGCAGCTGCTTTAAAGAGCAACAGAAAGTTGCTATTACGTTCATCTTGTCACATGTTCTAAGCACACCTTCCTAGGACTCAACCTGAAGCAATGCACATCTTTAAAGAAGAACACTTACATTGTGGAAGTGTCTAAATGGCACAAACTGGACAATGTCTCGAACAGCAGCCTCTCCTGAACGTGATCTCAAAGCTCCGCTGTCACTGTCCAGAAATTCCATGGCACTGAAATCAGCACCTCCGACACCAACAATGATGATGGACATGGGAAGCTTAGATGCATTGACAATAGCCGATCTGGTCTCATCGAGGTCTGTTATCACCCCATCCGTGATAATCAGCAGTATAAAATATTGCTGTTGAACAAAAGGACTTTGTTAAAACTGAGGAAAATATATTCCAAAGGTATATTTGGGATACCAGTTGAGACTGGGATACCAATTTATAAGGATGGCAGAAAGGAAAAGTTCAGATGCTTGGCAACTGGTTCATATTTATGATGATTGCACAGTCCCTGGCTCATGTACTTTTGCAACCTTCCTGCAAGCAAAATTAATGGGAGATGCTATATTCACTTAACAACCATGTCGCTAACTTAATAGCTGCAGTGATTCACTTAGCTGTGACAAGCAAGGTTGTAAAATGGGGAACAACGTCTCGCTTAGCAACAGAAATGTTGGTCTCAATTTTGCATCATAGGTTGAGGACTACCTATACTTTAAACAGTGAAACTTTCCATTAAGTTTTCTCCATCAAATCTTAAATCAACTTTTTACCCAACTAAATTTACTTTTATGTTTGACCAACACCAATACTCACTTCTATTTTAATTAATTTCATTTTAGTTGCCAGAGACATATTTTTATACAGAACCATTTTTGCTTCTTTAGACTTTCATTTCGTCCTATCCATCCTCTTATGTAAGACTCCAGATAAAGGGAGTTTCTTGTTAATACCATATTGAGGTTTAGAGTATTTTAAGGATATTGCTGCATCTGAAAAATATAGCGTCCAGTAAGGCCAACTCACAACTCAGAAAAATAGCTAATATGTGGTGAAGAGGGTTCCTAAAACATGCAGGGAGGTAACTGCTATGTTCTATCACAAGGAAAGGAAAACTAGTTATATATATATAGTTTCTTACCCTGACAAATCGTAATAAACTCTTTTTACTTTTTTTTTCATTCACGCATTGTTGCAATGAATTATTGTTGAAGTTATATATACCTGCTTCAGGAATCTTACAAAAAGTCATAATTCATATTCTGAGCTTATATTACTTACTTATTTTCTAAATAAGTAATGATAGAATTATTAGCAGGAAGCCATAAATGCCTGGACAATTGGAATCAGGCTGATATCTCAATTATGACTTCCAAGTAGCATAATTATTCAAATCAACAGTTACCAGCATTCGCCCCTAAGTGTAACAGATGTAAATTTGCTTTATGAAAACCAAATTGCTTTAAGAGCATCTCAGGGGAAAGCAATGGACAGGTACAGATATTTATGCTCTACACAAATAGCAGTTAGTACTGCTCTTCATGCCTCATCTTAAATAATTAATCTCCGTTTTGCTTTTTTGTAACATTTCACTCTTAGTACAAAGTACTAAAAGGATTCTAACATGGTAGAAATGCTTGCCAAATGTAGTTGCTTACTATATATGTATGGGGGAAAAAATCAACTTGTTTGTTTATATTTTGTCATTAGCATAGACTTTGGCTAATTGAGAAATTCACTTCACTACTCATTCCCTCACCGGTATCTTTTCACAACAATTAAAGAAAAAAAAAACCCATAGCAAAAAGATACTTACGGAGGCTGTTCTCTGCTGTGAAGCTGCAGCAGCAAATCTAGCTACATGATTGATGATTGGAGAGAAGTTGGTGGGCCCATACAATCTTATTTGAGGAAGGCAGACCCGGTATGCATCAACAATACCCTGGACACCTGCAGGGAATAAAAACATAATGAAGGGAATTTATCCATCATGGTCACCCTCCACTCTAGTTTATGAAGGTCTACATCAGGGGTGTCAAACCGACGGCCCCCAGGCCAGATGCATCACGTACAGGCCACGCCCACCCCAGTTACACGACGGGAGAAAACTTTGCGATACGTCATATGACATCCATGGTCTATACGCTGAAGCCTCAATAAGCTTTCTATTGCAAACTGTCTATATTTAAGGCAGAAGATCTACAAAGTTGCTTATCTGAAGCTTTGAAGTAAGCAGTCTAGCTAGTCAAATAGTGAATGAAACTTAAATCCCAAGGACTTTTGAAGGCCACGTGACTTTGGAGAAGAGCTGTCAGTATTTCCTGCAAAGGTGATTCTTTTCATATTGTTAAGTCCTGAAAGTATAGGAGCCAGCAGAGAATTACATCACGACCCAACATCAAAATACTTGTACCAACTCAGCTTCTTGTGCCAAAGAGA